CACGTCGCCTGATCACAAAGTCGGCCACGCCATCAGTCCACCATTTCTGATGCACTGGATATTAATCGACACTAACGATTTGCCAATCCCAGAAGGGGCACTGCTTTGCCATTCATTCGCCTGGCTGCCTTATCTTTACCGAATAGGTTGGAACCATCGCAGCGCAAAATTGCAGCGCATACCTAATGCATATATATGCACTCAGCTTAAGTACTGTGTCTTCAACTATTAATAAGCAAGTCTTGACCTGTCACGCATACTTAAGGGGCTGTAGAATAGCAAAACATAACTCAAACTGTCTTTTTATTCTTTAATTTTTTTAATTACGAAACTCTAAAAATCTGCAGATTTTTACTGATTACAAATTACGCTTTAAATTGGTAGTGTCTTTAAAGCATATTCTCATTTTGCGCGCCTGTGTTGTGTTGCTGCGGGTTTGGTTTCAGGATGAGTAGGAGTGACCGAGCTAACAAAGCCCTAGTTCAGCCTATTGTGGGTTTTCGTATTTTCAAATTTATTTTTAGACTGTTATTTATGGCCACATGCAAGCAGTAAGGTTATATTCATGATACACAGGATTAGAAAACACCAGTTCAAATCTGGCTCTATGAACAGAGTAATATGCGAATCGAAGGCAGGATTGTTGGTTTCGATGAATACATGAACCTCGTTCTGGTGGAAGCCTGCGAAAGACATATGAAGTCTGGGGCCAAGAAAATGATTGGTGAGCAGTCCTTATTATTTTTGTATCTTTTAGGTCGTATCCTCCTTAAGGGTGAAACTATCACTCTTATTCAAAAGCTTCCTCAATAGCTTTTAAATTTGCATCTTATAATAAACTACTGATGTAGAGATGCGGTTTTTATGTTCTTGGTATGCGTTGTCAACGCGTGTGGTTGTTCTGAAAATCTGCCGAGCGAACTAATGAGTGCTCTGCACATGTAGCGACGATGGCTGTTCCTTGCTAGCTAGTGCGTTGCACTAAGAAGTGGTGGTATGGTAGTGTACGGCGGTTGAATGCATGGTTTTTGTTGTTGGTTCCACACATGCATGAGGTATTGGCTGATTGACGGAAATTACCCTTGCATTTCAGTCACTCATGGTGGAAGAAGGGGTTGCTTCGCTAGTTGGTATTACAGGAGATTCGGTGTTGTTCTGCTGGTATCTTTGCTGTTACGCCACCAATGGGCTACTTAATTTCGTCATTTATAATCCATGCTTCAGTTTTGATTGGGCACGATGGTCGGTTTTGCTGCTAATTCTTTGTGCCATACTTGTGTCTGGTAGTCTCGTGACCACCGCTTATTATCTAGGTCCTTCAGGCCAAGGACTTGGGTGTTGTGGTCTCGCGTTATTTTGTTTGGCATAAATTGTTGTGGTGCAGCAGTCAAGTTGATATGCTGGAACATTGGCGTTACGCGATCATTTGCTTCTTGTAAGGCTCGTATTCTATCCTTCCTTTCGTTGAGCCTTAAACAGGAATGCATTTCCTGTTTTGGTTGTCTTTCAGGAGCATCGTTAGTTATTGAAGTTCTATTTAAATCGAATGTCATCATTCTAGATCGAATAATCTCTTACTGCAAACAACGATTGAGGATTGAACAGCACTGTTTAAGGCTTGACCACTAGGCGCCAACCCCTTTCATTGTTTAAGCGTAAAGCTGGGAACTTAAGACAATATTACACTGCATCGTATCTTTAAAGCGGCATTTCTGGTGCTTTTCCTACTCGACTCCCTGCTCTATCCGTATTTTGCGGTGCTTAGAGCGGGTAGATTGCTGGCGCTATTATATCAACCATGTCATCTAGTGTGGGCATAAAACCACAGCTTCACTTATCCGCGTAATTGAATTACATGGCTGAGCATAAAGTCAAAACATTGCATTGTTGCCTTTCAAGTTGAAGCCTTTTACTTTCGGCACATAAAAACTGTAAGCCTTTTTGAAACGGCGCCAATAGCTACTTATTTTAGGCTAGTAAGAGCGCCACCGTCTTGTTCGATGTCTCTGCACAATTTTTGGACTCAAGGGGCCAATTGTCCCATGTGTTCTGATGCAACAACCCACGGTGTGATACTCATAATATTTATCATGGCTTCTTCATGGTCAACAATTGCATTAGTGACAGCCTACACTAGCCGATTGTTGGGTCGGAGAAACACATACAGTCCAGCAGAAAACCGCCTTTGTCAGAATTATTACTCCTTGTTCGAGTCTTGCAAAGCCGGCTCTATATATTACAAGTACAGAGTTGAAGGCCTTACGTGGGTGCCCTTCAATCACCAGGGTTCGGGTATGATTTTGGTAACCAGAGTCATCGTTGGGGCTCACTACCGGCATGCGTACGATTCATCCTCTCACCTCTCCCTTCCCTCACCCATTAGTGGTATGGTTTACTTGTAAGAAATTCTCAGACCATGAATGTTCCGGTATTTAGGGCTACCTGTCTTGTTAATCTTCGAGTTGTCATCACTTAACGTGGCCATGGCCCATGAAGAATTGATAAACTCATTCTCGTGTCGGAACCCGCTGTCAGCGCTGGTATGCGTGTGATTCATTCTGATGTACGTGCTACGGTGTTCGTATATGCCTTGGTGACTCAGAACACGATGGTAACAATGTGGCGAAGCCGACGCGAGAACGATTCGGTCACTTTGCATTATCTCACTCTCACAAAAAGTATCGCAATTACCTCAGTCATGAACATTAGGACCTCCTTCGAAGTTATCTACATTGAAAGAACTCTTGACAGGCGCGTTTTATGACGTCTGAGTTAAATGCTTGAGTAGTTGCGATCACTTATGAATTAGTGCAGCTTGTAACCACCTCCCAACCGTAAACCTCTTCCAGATTTGCTTCCCTTTGGAATGCTGGTACGAACTATAGTCAGTTATGCCACTTTTAGCAAATTCTACCACTAAATAGTGGCTACTTAATTCCAGACTTGCCTCCCTCCACTCGATGCTCATCTAGTGGTGCAGTGTTTCCCTTTATCGATGCTACGATGTTGTTTGCTGCCAAACTAGCAACCAAATTCTACAAATTTCGCTCTCCCTTAACACTTAGTTGGTGCAAGTCAATAAAAAACCCACCACTTGCCACTTACGCCTATCATGTCATCATTTCATAACTGTCTATTTGGCCCCGCGTGTGTTCAAGTGTCTGGCTAAAGCCAACACCGGGAGAGAGGGTGATGCACACTCGCCGCCTACAAAACAATCACTGAGGCAGTATGGGGAATGAAGGCTGGGCACTATTTCTCCTTTCTCATCCTCCAATCTCATGGCATTCCATTCATTCTCAAAATGCAATCCATCTCATGAGCATATTCATCAGTCATAAAAGAGGCCAAGTTCGGAGTGCATTTTTTTGGAAGAAAAACAAGGTTTAGGAGTTGCACTGCGTAAAACAGGGAGGTGGTAACGGAAATTGGGTCGTACAAAGACAAAACTTTTAAGCGGACAACGGTATCCATGCATAGTTGCGTACTCCAAGAGGTGAATTTTGCGGAAAAGTGAGATGTACAGTTGGACAAATGAAGGTTGGCACCGAGCACTTTTGCACGAAGGGGTGTTCTTCTTTTACATAAATGGACCCAATGGGTGAGTGTGGGACGTGGTTTCTTAACCTTTGATGGGTGTCCGAGAGTCTTCTACACATTCACTGCAACACAAACCAGCACAACCCTCCAACTTCGTAGTGATGAAGGCCTTGACAACACGAGGTAATGCGTGTGGGAATGGAAAAGCTTCGCCTCATTTTTTATATGGTGGCTGAAGGCAATGAGGAGTAATTTTTTTTTTCTTCCAATCTGCTTGTCTGTCTGTCATCTATTGCTAGGGCTTGACATTGCTCACTCTCTTAGGTGTTTTGACCTTCATAGTTTGCAAACAACTGTTTCATCATCACTTGTTTGGACATCGCTGCATAGTTTTCCAGCTGGTATGCAAAAAGTTTGACAGGAACCATTCATGCCTTAGGAGGTGACAGAAGACAGGCTCTAATCACATTCGTTCGCCGTAACTGCCATTGTATGTTATGAGAGTTTCGAGAGGGGAGGAGAGGAGAGGGGGGAGAGGGTGGGTTAACCAATGATATCATTCTGTAAGGTTTGTAGAAGGATAATTAACCGCTAAATCACATGCAAATTCCTGGCAGTAAACCTTTCTCAACTCCCGTAAACAACAAATTGATGCTGTAATGTCACTAACTTCGGGGATAAATGTTTTTAAAATCTTCCAGGAGGTTTCTTATGTCAGAACTCCAAAAGACTGGCCCTAAATAAAGGCACTACCTTGACGTGTCTGTCACCCAAGTTCAAAAGTAAATCCCAATCATCGCAAGCGCGTCGCTGTTCAAACATCACACGAGCCACTTTACTCCCTTTCATAACCGCTCAATCTTTCTTGTTTCCTTCTTAACGTTTCGCATAAATGAATGGCGGAGAGGCGATCAGACATGGCCAGAGACAAATCCACAAACAACAAGCCCCGCCGCGTCTGCCACTCTCGCAACTACGGCTGGAGTATTCTGGCGTCAATAAAAGGATTCTCAAGACCAAACTTTGGTTTTCCCCCCACAGATCCAGCAAGACGCGACCTTAGGAATAAGCACAAATATGTATGTATTTGATGGACACGTGGGCATCGTCGCTAGTGTGGTTATTAAAAGGAGGCCGGAGGAGAGGACAGCGAGAGACGGACGAAAATTGAGATAGAGCGATAAAGATGTAAACGACACCGGCGTAGGTAGTGGATGAGTGAATGATTAAGTGGAATTAGGAGGTAAAGGTAAGAGTATAAGGTAGAGCAATGGTAGATGCAATTTAGATCTGCCAAACGCAACCAGGAGTAATGGTGCCAGAGACATCCAGTTTGACGCCACCTTGGAGATTGGCAGCAAGGAAGGCGGGTCTACGCTGTCCACTCCCAACTGAGAGGAGAGGGCGCAAAAGGGCGTACTTATCGTTGGTCATGAAGATTACAAACTCAGTCTCGGAGTTTGACCCAGTTCCCGTTCCGGCTCCAGCCTCGGCCTCGTCAGGACCTGTTTCACTTGGTGTCAAGGTAACGTTGCCTTGTGTGGTGACGCTCAATACCATCCACCTATCGTTCTGCCCTGAGTTTAGGAGAGGGAAACATACTCACTATGTAGGTAAGTAGAGGCACAGGAATAAAGTTAGGCATCCGATTTTATGTACCATGAATAGGATGGCAACTACAAGTGCATTTTTTACCAACTTACTAGTAAAGAATTGTACCGTGCCAGCAATGAGATGTCGTAAGAACCATTGTTGGGGTACACAACCAGTACAATCAACGGTTGAGGCGGCACCAACACTTGATCGGCGGGTGGCAGTGCCAACAGAGGGTGCGAGGAATCCGCAGGCAAACGGTGAGTAGCAAGCGATGGATGTTCGATTAATCAGTGGCAATAGGTGCAGCACCTCCGATGGACCTGGCTGCCAATTGGCAGAGTCGGTACGTTTGTCAGAAATACCGATAGCTCCCAATGGCTTCGCGCATACCGTCGCACCATCGAGGGTGCGCAACACCACTCCACCCCGAATGTTTACGCGCCCTTTGCCCTCAACTCCACCACTGTTGTTAGTACTGTCTTCCATGTAGCTTGGTATGTAGAGAATTTCGAAGGTAGTGTCTTTTGTGCTGGAAAAGTAAATAGCATTTAACTCGTACCTTTGAAATTACATGGAGGGAGGAAGATGGTCGCATCTAAATTATAATAATGGAATTTCCTCTCATTTGAATAGTTTACCATTAAAGTCAACGCCAGAACTAACGTTGAGGAGAAGCACAGCACAACTGTGGCTGAAGGCTAGATGATGAAGAGCCTTACCAGTCTTCAGGAGCTAGCTCAGCCGAACCGGTGGGTAGAATCTGCCATAGACGTCGGTCCTGAGAGCGCAGACGCCAGAGGCCTGTAGTTAGGTAGGTGGCACCCTCATCTGTCCCGTCAAAACCGAAAGTCGCCGATGAGGCATCCATCGAGGGTGTGGAAGCAGCATTCACAATGTCCGTCATATCTGGACCTCGACCGCCCACGTACTCTAACTGGTAGAGGGTGCTCTTTTGATCTTCCAGCTCCTCCATAGTGGTGGAGAAGGTTAAACCTGCAGATACATTGAAGATAACAAAGTGAAGTCGTTTTGCCTCTCACTGTCATTCTCAGAATTGCTTCTCTACAGCGTCACTACACCCAGCAGTCTGTCATTTGATGAGTAATAATGGCCTATGTGCATAGCGTGGACCGGTTTGGACACTGTCCGCCTAGATGGCAAGCGAATGTGGTAAAAAAGGCGAGTGGTGATAAATGGGAGCCTAAGGCCAGTTTGCACAGGAATCCTCAAGCACAAGTGCTTTAAAGACTACCTTGGGTCCACGCTTGCCTAGCCAAGGCACGTCTTTCATTGTTAAGGTCCGCGCTTTGAATGGTCAATTGAAACGCTGTGAAACGAACTGCTGAGTGCTTTTTACTCATGGCTCGAAGCCTTGAAGAAGTTAATGAATCTCCCCAAGAGCAACTTATCGGGATGCAGCAAAAAGACAGTTGAATGATCATTCTTTGCATTGCCGATTTCATTTGGCGAGGGGATGAAAAACAGACCCCCTTAAATTTTGACAATTTCAATGCCTAACTAAACAGTCTTGCCTACGCTGTGGCACCAAATGTACACTGAGCCAACGGAAGAGTGCTCCGTCCAGCGCGTTGTACGCAAAGTCAAACTCCCGCCCGAGGCGTGAGGGCACATTAAAGGCGGTGCACAACGCCTCATGATGGACGTTAGAGATACGCGAAATACCGGCAGTTCACCGCATGCCCATCGAAGAAGGGTAAAATCGGATTCGGACCAAGGGGAGTGGAATTTAACTTCATACCAGCAAAGTTCCCCCTCCTAAGTAGCCCAATAAGCGATTTTCGGAGGCGCGCGAAGGTGACTGTGACATTCACTTTGGCAGGTATGTGGATGACAGAGCCGGGTCTGTTGATTACTCCTTAAAGGCCACGCAGTTTTTGGAACCATAAAGCCAGAGACTTTAGGCAGACTTGCCTCTGCAAACAGGACTAAGTCACGGCGAGAGAGTGACAGTACAACCCCGACGAGGTTTTGCAATTGATTTATAAAGTTTACGTAGTAAAATTACATGTCCAATGTATCACTAGTTTAAGTGGAAATATTGGCTAGTCCACTTTTTTCCCATTTTAAAATTAGCCATGCACGATGATGGTTTGAAATCCCTCAACCCACTGCTTTTTTATCCTTCCCTAACTTTCCTTCCCAAAGAATAATTTCGGGAAAAAATTTTCTCCTGCTCTTTCGCTCCCGCCACTCTACACCGCAGCTCTCCAACGACATCTGTGCGGAAGTTATTTTCTTCAAGTTCCCTAGCATGCGCATACGGAGTCTTCTTCTGTGCCTCTCCCTTTTAAAATAAATTCCTTGCACAAACTTTGAGAGTTGATGTAGCAAAGCCTCAAAAGATTCTCGTCCTAAAGAAAGTTGGTCGCTGCAATCCAGATGTGCCTTACTGTCCTAATGCGGCACTACTGAAGTGACCTCGCAAATGGCCACTCAGGAAATTAAAAATGGCCAAAATTATGCACAAGCAAAGAACACCTTATCTCTGGCAGCCCATTTCGAAGGCAGCCAACCCACTGGAAGCATGCTTTGACATAATGAGGGTGTCAAAACAAATGATATGAAATGCGTTAAAGGACCGGTAGAGAATTTTCTACAAACTCACCGTGTTTATTGCACGCGTACTTGTTGTTGCAGGCCCAGAGACGGACTTGATTGGAGGGCGTCTCAATTGAGAAAAACTCCTCTCTGCGGGGCTCCCGAGCTCCCATCTTGACTTTGAGAACACCACCCGCTCCAACAGTTAGGTACTCGCCATTCACATCCTGGAACATCACCACTTGCGATCTACCTGCAGGGCGAAAATAAGCGGTTCATTCATATGAAGCCTCTTGTGAAACACATCCGATCATATGGGCATTCTAAGCTGCCTTCTCACGCTTTCTATGCATGGATAAAGTAACTCATGCCTTATAGAGGCTTTGAAGACAACTTTGTTTGCACACAATGGTACCAATGAAGTCTTGACAGCCCTCAACCCACCTGGTTTAAATGACATGGCAAAGAGTGATGCCTCCTCGATGCTGTTCACTAGACTGCTGTCAGCACGAAGGTATCGACCCGACTGGGTGCGTATAGCAACACGCGAGAGGCGAGCCACTGCCTCCTTGGAGGAGGTCCCAACTCCAGCACCCGAAGCGGGCGGCAGAGGCAGCTGCTGTAGCCAGAGAAGAAATTTAGGGCTGCAAGGCATCTTTGCTACTGCGCGCAACTCGCTCTCCTTATTGGCACTACGAATGAAGCAGGAGCGATGCACACTGTGTAGGTGGATCTAAAAAGAAGACGATGGCTTGACTTAACTGTTATTGTTTCCAACCGTGGGTGAAGAAAATTCGCTTCATGGTTTCCTGATCATGGTAAGAGACGTCATTTGGGGGAGGGGATGTGTCCAGAATGAGGAGCATAGGGGACGGGTCGGATTTCCGGATGGACAATCCATTCAATTTATCCCCCAAAATGACCTCAGGGCTAGGCTGACAGGGTAGACGTCGAAGTCTGACGTACGGACAGCGGATGACTAATAGTTCAATTTGGTCGTTGATGCAATTACAAGCATCGAAGCTACTTGATAGATTCTCACCGATTGCCGGAAGGGTTCAAAACTCCCAGCATCGGATACAACATGTAACGTCTGATTCAAATTAAGGACTGAAAGAAGGTGCATTACCATTCTAAAGCAAATATGCACTCAAGAGCGTGATTATGTGACTCTCAGAAGCACTAAGCAGAATTTGGCTTCTATCATCTATTCAACCAATTATAATGAAATGCATCGGAATAGGACTTTGAAAAGGTGCTGCTTTGATGTCCATTGAATACTGCGCTACGGCAGGTTTTAATACTACATCCTACCTGTGGATGCATTCCAAGGCGCATACCCCACCAAACCGGTTCCTTGGAGAAGCACCGCATTTCTGTGCCACTCCATTGAAGGTAGAACCCATGCTTCTCCGACTGCAGTGCAATTTCACCCGAAGCACGGGGTTCGAAATGAATGATGAAGCGTTCCTCCGTGCCTACAATAAAAAAATGCATTTAGGCTCCATGAAGTAGACTCGTCCCGTCAACCTTAACGCTACCCCTTCCAGAGTTCCTCACCTGGTTTGTCTGAGACCAGGGTAACCTTGCCATTATTGTCAGCACTGAGAAAGTTTCCCAAATGGTTTTGCAGAAGGAAGGCGGTAGGGTTTTTTGACTCCGTGTAGAGTGTCCAGATTTGCTTGCGCTTCAACGAAACACCCGAGACATTAAGCGAACCCTGAAAAGTCTCCGAGGTCAAGAGACGACCTGAGGGACTGTGGATTAGGCCAATCCGTATCAATTCGATCAGACCGAGTTGTTGATTGCAGCTACTCCCGTTATGCATTATGATTGGGTTAACTCTCTTGAAGAAGGACAGAAAGGACTGTAAGGAACCTAGAAGCAACTTGACCAAAGCTTAGAGCACTTTTTCGTGTCACTACATAAACAGCTTAATGGAGAGCAGTTTGAACACCCTGTTTACCATTCAAGACATTTGGGAGATGAGTCATATTTTGGCAGGGCCGTAATCGTCAAAGTGGGCTAGCCCAACAGCCATTCCAAGCCAAGATAGTTTGACGAACTGGGAATGGGAAGACCACTCGTGTGCTCTCATAAAGTGCCCAGGATATTTACGAAACGGATGCCACGGAGACGCTTAAAACAGGGCTTACGATTTACAAGAAAAGGAGTTGCCTAATTCGCCTAAAGTATTTGGCGGGTTAGTGTGTAAACAACGCCCCTTCGTGACTCATCACGCCCTGTCCTGATAAAAACTTGTAGAAAATTTCCTCCCGGGAATCAGAACACAGTAAAAGTTGGAGAGAAGTGATGCATGCTAATCCAAATAACGGGATTTATTTGCGTCTAAATGAAAAATAATTTAAAATATCACAAAGCCTAATTTGAAGAGATTTTGAACTAAGCAATATTGGGCAACGAAGATATGACTAACAATACTTATGCAATCCACCAAAATCCTTTTTTACAATACGACAAGTGCTCAATTTAAGACAGAAACTATGTAGAAAGAAGAACAAAACTTGCGTTGGAATCAGGAGCCTCCGACTCAAAAGGCGAACGAATGAGGCAGAGCTGCCGCTTCCTCCGCCTTCGTGCAACTCCCGAAGTAGTGATCGTGCGCCTATTGGTTGATAGTCCTTTCTGACCCCTGTTCACGATTTTGATTGGTCGTTGCAAGACCAATAAAAATGCAGCCTTTTTGTCATTGCGCGCGCCAGCTTGAAGCCAACTTATTCACCCCTTGGCCGCCAGTAAACCACCGCCACCACCAAGTCCAAATCCTCGTGTGCCTTTTGTTGGACAGGCTTTGTTCACCCGATCACCTGCCTCTTTGTGCTGCCTTGATTGTGCATCCTTTCAAGCCTTGCGTAAATTGGCCTGGTTTTTGAGGCCTGAGGAGAGAGGAGACCGTCTCAATTTCGAGCATTTGGCATACAATTTATGCTAGTTCTCGTAAGCTCTTAAGAGACGGATTGTAGAAATGGAACCAGAAGGCCACTTCTGAGTTTGTTCGGTTCACTTCAATGTGGTCATTGAATTATTCATTCAAAGACAAAACTGAACTCATTTTATGAGGTAAAGAGGGCAACATATTAAGTAAAACTAAGTGAAAGGGGTTTTGACATATTGTTAGCTTCCTCAACGTGATAATGAATCCGGCCCACTAGTAGAAAAGGTGGCAATAGCTAAGTTCCATACCACTGACATGGATCCAGAACGTTAGAGACATTGCCAGTCAAATTGCCTCACTCAACTACGAAAATAGTCTCTCATTCCTACTAAAAGCGAGGATTAAAGACACCTCTGGACCTTGAATGCTCCATATTCGCCGTGGAGCGGTTTTGGGTGATGACGCTCGAATCAATGAGCCTATGGAGACTTTCAAACGCTAAATCGGAGTGTAATCCAATTAAGGCGTTAACCAACAGACCTCATTCCTATTAATCACGTTCCACTAGAGGCAGTGGAGACCACGCCTGTATCATATTGCCAGCACAAAAGTGTGTCACTGCGCCACAGCTGTCGTTAGCGTAATTATTATCCTTGAGGCAATAAGTGGTGCCAATCGAGCATTGCTGACTCAACAATTTTGATTTTACTGAATTAGCGACAATTATTTAGTGACGGCGACCCCTTTCAGGATGCAACATTCCTCCCTCATCTGATCCCCAAATAGCCAACAACTAGTTAGCTCTGCCTTTTGGCAACACCGATGCTCTCAAGCGTCGGACATATAAAGGTGAGTTGTGTAATCCTCTAGCAATTAGTCCTCATGTAAGACGGGGATGGTGCTTCAGAGAAGACGCGCGGGATACTTTCAATACCCTCTAAATCAATTAATTTGCATTCTTGTAGTGGCAGAGAGAGAAAGTGCGAGAGAAAAGAGGGGAGCAGGGGTGAGTGTAATGTATGCACAACTTAGCTTGTGACTAATAGGTAATTTGATAGGGGAGGAAAGGAAGTAGTGGACTTAGCCATACTTGCAAGAGGGTATTTAACTCCGCTTCACTTCAGGTCTTTTGCCTTTGTGTGAGCTGTCCAAAGTAGAAAGGTCTCATACCACATTGTGAATGGTGTGAAGCTTTCGATACAAAAGATGGTACAAATCCTCATTCATTGGCCCATCTGATCGTCTGTAAAAGTGTCCGGTAAGTCAACAAAGGATACTAAAATGTTCACATCTAACACACCTTCAATAAATTTTATATTACCTCAAGGTGGTATTCAGGCCATTGTCGGTTTGCCGCTGGTGGGTGGACTTAAAGTGAAACGCACAAAACTTCTACTAAAGTTGTTGAAAGGTAATCTATTTAAAGTTCCTGTGATGAGCTGGACGCTCTTTCCAGCATCGCTTTTCGTGTTTGAGATATGTCGATCCCCCAGACAGACACACGATGCCATCCGCTTGGTTTTCGTCACCACCACCATTTCGCTCTCTCACTGCATTCAAATTGGGTTGTTTCCTCCTCTCAGTGTCCAAAGTTCTGACACTCACACCCGCAACACCATTTACACAAAGTACCCGTTAGGAGAGGTTTAAATGACCTTGAAGAATCCATTTTATTGTTTCCAAGGCGTAAGTTATCCGCATTAGACGCTCCTAGCAGACTCAGCTCCGATTCGATACAAGACGCTCCTCTGAATGCACCGACCTCTTGACGCAGTATTCTGCATCACCTTTGCGTTGTTCAAAACAGTCTGCTCGCCTCTTGCCTAAAGTGGTACCGGAGCCGTAAAACCTCCTTGTCGCACTTGATGACGTGATGGTAGAGGAAGGCATCCACAATCATTTGGACAGTAAGCACACAAAGATAGGGACTGGAATGTCTTGATAGAAATGATAGAAATAGAGTGACCCGAGATGAGTGTAGTGAGTGAGAAAATTTAGCACTAAAGCTGGCATTTGAGATCTAAATTGGTTTAAAAGTGGATCGTTTTTTTTTATCTAAGGAACTCAATTGATAAATCCTGTCAGTACAAAAAATTTTATATTTACCTTCGAGCACACCATTGCTCCATCACGCACCTCACTTCTTTGCCCTTTGAATCCATTCAAGTTTTTTTTGCGTTGGTATCGAGATGTCTGTAGTACTTCATTTAAACATGCACTTTAGGGTAGAAAAAATGTGGAATTAAGTGAATATTTGACTGTGACTGTTGAACCTATAATTGTTCTGGCGGAAGTGGTAAAACGATGACGTGGTCAAATAATTGGAGGCCTTTTACTCAACAGTCTTCTGTGAAGCAATTCCCCGGCAGCATGACTGAACCGGCAGTATGCATCCACATGAAGATGGTACAACAACGGTTTTGTCGAAACACCATCATTTATGATTATTGCCTTCAAAACACCATGCACATTTTCCTGTGGTATTTTTTTAATTGCTAACACGACCTTTGATGGTGGTCATCGTAGCCTTTTTGGCATTGTCGTCCATTGTCTTCCTTCTAACGCCATGCAGTAATGAAACAAGATCTGACCGAATGGTTGGGGCCAAAATGGAAGCAGAGTGGCTCATCGAGGTGAAGTCAAAGGATAAATGCAGATGTCTATCTTACTCATTCTAAACTACTTTTACACCGATTTTACTGTGATTGATGAACGTCTTGAACACGTGGGACGGTCGCAGATATCGTGTAAGGCGATCTAGCGGCCCACAATGACTCACTTTACATTCGATAGTGGTTTCGTGAGAATTATGAGCATTATCAGGGCTTTTGGTTCATGGAAAATAAGAAAATCGTCAAACTATCGCAAGCATTTGTCATTGTAAAACTTCTTTTGATCTTCAGTAAGATGGGACACACGATTTGGCTAAAGTAGAGGGCACTGATGGTTTTAACAGGCTACGTCACAAACAACTGCATCACGATAACTGCGAGTATTTCAAAAATGGCACTGGAAGTAATAAGAGCGGATCATGGATGAGATATTTTCGAGCACTGTAGTCGGACAGACAAAGCCATAGCAAAATCATAGTGGAGGAAGCAGGAGTGCAGTTTTGAAGGTTGTTCTCGTTCAAACTCCATCTAAGCTTAACAATTCAATTTTCTCACCCATGCTTGCAAGACAATGCCGAGCAGTCAAAAAGGGCAAATTAATTGGATTGAAAAGGGAAAGTTTGACAATCGGTACAACCGAACCATAGCATTGCACTAGTGGATTTTATCTCCAATTCCCAACGAAATTGAGTTGTAATGCGAGGGCGCACATGATGTTAGTTTGGGGGAATGGAACGCCCAAAGGACAAACGAATAGTACAGTGCTGTTTATCCGTTTTAAGAAAAGCAGGTGACACAGTGACATGATCGCTGACAGGCGGTGCCGTACTAATATAAAGAAACATTAGATTTGCAGAGGCAAATAATTTTATACCATCCTGACAGTAAACGAAGGAAAGGCAAACATTAAAAAAAAATAATCTGGCTTTGTTGTCACGTACTAGGCTCAGGCTGAATTATTTTCTGTTGTTTAAATAATTTAACCATGATTTAAAAATTGTTGTGTAAGTTTCAATAGCAGGGTTGAAACCCACTTTTAACAACCGAGAAGACCTAATTACATTCCGCTTAACTGAGATTTAACGATGTTTTGAATACATACCATCTCAACTGAAAATTAACAGTGATAAGGATAAACAAAACTTATCAGCAAAATGACGTTCAGGTTAAGCACAAACTAAGACGGGATGTATATGGGTATCGAACTTTTGCTAACTCATGCTGATTATTTTTGCTTGTGCGTCTTTTAAAGCTCTACGGTACAATTTTTAAATACAGAATGCAGACTGCCACACCTAAAATACATAGTGTAAAAATTGC